GGTCAGCTTCCTATTCCTTTCTAGTGCAGCAGCATTCATTTTACTCTCACCGGCGGGAGGGGGGGGGGGAACCTGGGACATCGGCAACTTTGACTTTGGGGGCTGTTTAGGGCTAAAACCACAGCTGCAACTAAAATCCCCACGTCTCAAGCCAAACACAATTCTACAAAAGGCAAATGTTTTCTTTTTGTTTAAATTATCGGGGCACACAGTTAGAACATCGGCAGATGCACGGTTGCCCGGGTTGAACCCTAAACAATCCCCCTCCAGATGTTGTAAGTCTCTAGCCTCAACCCTGAACAAACCCAAAAGTTTCACGCCTACAAAAACAAGAGCAGTCCGCCCATGGTTTTAGACCCCAATCTGAAAGTTGCCGAGTTCCAGGCACACTTCCCTGGTTCGCACCCCCCCACCCCACCCCCGGCGAGAGTAAAATGCGTGCTGCCGCAATTGAAACGAATAGGAAGCTGACCTCTTGGTCTAGACAACACAGCTGCAACTGAACCCCCCACGCCTTAAGCCAAAACTGATTTTCCGGAAGTATGTGTATTCTTCCAATTTCAATTCACGGGACCCACAGTTAGAACATCGGCAGATGCTCGGTTGTCCGGTTTGAACCCGAAACAAACCCCCCCCCCCACCATATGTTTCAGCCCTCAACCCTTGAAAGTTCCCGATTTCCAGGCCCAACACTTCCCAGGTTCCCCCCAAACCCCACTCCCCCGCTAAGATTGCGGTTTAAAGCCGGACAAGCGTGCATCTGCCGATGTTCTAACTGTGGGTCCCGCTAATTGAAATAGGAGGAAAACACATACTTTCGGGAAAAAACCTTTGGCGTAAGGCGTTGGGGTTTCAGTCGCAGTGTGTTGTCTAGACCTACAGGTCAGCTTCCTACTCCTTTCTAGTGCAGCAGCACTCATTTTACTCTCACCGGCGGGAGGGGGGGGGGGAACCTGGGACATCGGCAACTTTGACGTTGGGGGCAGCTGCAACTAAAATCCCCACGTCTCAAGCCAAACACAATTCTACAAAAGGCATGTGTTTCTTCTTGTTTAAATTAACGGGGCACACAGTTAGAACATCGGCAGATGCACGGTTGCCCGGGTTGAACCCTAAACAATCCCCCTCCAGATGTTGTAAGTCTCTAGCCTCAACCCTGAACAAACCCAAAAGTTTGACGCCTACAAAAACAAGAGCAGTCCGCCCATGGTTTTAGACCCCAATCTGAAAGTTGCCGAGTTCCAGGCACACTTCCCTGGTTCGCACCCCCCCACCGCCCCCGGTGAGAGTAAATGCGTGCTGCCGCACTTGAAACAAATAGGAAGCTGACCTCTTGATCTAGACAACACAGCTGCAACTGAACCCCCCACACCTTAAGCCAAAACTGATTTTCAGGAAGTATGTGTATTCTTCCAATTTCAATTCACGGGACCCACAGTAGAACATCGGCAGATGCACGGTTGTCCGGTTTGAACCCGAAATATGTCAGCCCTCAACCCTTGAAAGTTCCCGATTTCCAGGCCCAACACTTCCCAGGTTCCCCCCAAACCCCACTCCCCCGCTAAGATTGCGGTTTAAAGCCGGACAAGCGTGCATCTGCCGATGTTCTAACTGTGGGTCCCGCTAATTGAAATAGGAGGAAAACACATACTTTCGGGAAAACACGTTTTGGCGTAAGGCGTTGGGGTTTCAGTCGCAGCTGTGTTGTCTAGACCTACAGGTCAGCTTCCTATTCCTTTCTAGTGCAGCAGCACTCATTTTACTCTCACCGGCGGGAAGGGGGGGCGAACCTGGGACATCGGCAACTTTGACGTTGGGGGCAGCTGCAACTAAAATCCCCACGTCTCAAGCCAAACACAATTCTACAAAAGGCATGTGTTTCTTCTTGTTTAAATTAACGGGGCACACAGTAGAACATCGCCAGATGCACGGTTGCCCGGGTTGAACCCTAAACAATCCCCCTCCAGATGTTGTAAGTCTCTAGCCTCAACCTGAACAAACCCAAAAGTTCACGCCTACAAAAACAAGAGCAGTCCGCCCATGGTTTTAGACCCCAATCTGAAAGTTGCCGAGTTCCAGGCACACTTCCCTGGTTCGCACCCCCCCACCGCCCCCGGTGAGAGTAAATGCGTGCTGCCGCACTTGAAACAAATAGGAAGCTGACCTCTTGATCTAGACAACACAGCTGCAACTGAACCCCCCACACCTTAAGCCAAAACTGTTTTCAGGAAGTATGTGTATTCTTCCAATTTCAATTCACGGGACCCACAGTAGAACATCGCAGATGCACGGTTGTCCGGTTTGAACCCGAAATGAAACGAAGAGGAAGCTGACCTCTTCATCTAGACAACACAGCTGCAACTGAACCCCCCACGCCTTAAGCCAAAACTGATTTTCAGGAAGTATGTGTATTCTTCCAATTTCAATTCACGGGACCCACAGCTAGAACATCCGCAGATGCACGGTTGTCCGGTTTGAACCCGAAATGTCAGCCCTCAACCCTTGAAAGTTCCCGATTTCCAGGCCCAACACTTCCCAGGTTCCCCCCCAACCCCACTCCCCCGCTAAGATCGCGGTTTAAAGCCGGACACGCGTGCATCTGCCGATGTTCTATCTGTGGGTCCCGCTAGGAAGAAAACACATACTTTCGGGGAAAACACGTTTTGGCGTAAGGCGTTGGGGTTTCAGTCGCGCTGTGTTGTCTAGACCTACAGGTCAGCTTCCTATTCCTTTCTAGTGCAGCAGCACTCATTTTACTCTCACCGGCGGGAAGGGGGGGCGACCTGGAACATCGGCAACTTTGACTTTGGGGGCTGGGTTAGGGCTAAACAACTAAAATCCCCACGTCTCAAGCCAAACACAATTCTACAAAAGGCATGTGTTTTCTTCTTGTTTCAATTAACGGGGCACACAGTTAGAACATCGCCAGATGCACGGTTGCCCGGGTTGAATCCTAAACAATCCCCCTCCAGGCCCGGCACTTCCCAGATTACCCCCCCCCCCCTGCGGTGAGAGTAAATTGAGCGCCGACGCACGAGAGAGGAATAGGAAGCTGACGTCTTACGATCAGCGCAGCTGCGACTAAAATGCCCACGCCTCAAGCTAAACACAATTCTTCAAAAGGCATGTGTTTTCTACATACATTGCAAACAAAGCCGTCATGTTGCGAGACACCCTGAAACGCAAATCACTGCAACATAAATGCATAGTTGTTCAGCCTTGGTGAGGAAGCAAACCCCTTCAAACGCAGCATGCAACAATGGTTCGCCATTGTTGATGTTCTAACTTGGATGTTCTAAACAAAAATGCCCAAACAAATGTCGCACGCTTAAATATGTTCTAACCCGGGTTCAGTTAGAACATGGATTCACCAAATGATGTTCTAACTTGAAGTCTGTCAATATAGACCCCGCAGATGACGCCTTGGAGGGTGAGCTCGGCTTCGCCGCTTGCCGCGTGTTGATGAAGGCTTTGTGGTTGGGGCGTTTGGCACGCCCGGACCTGGTCAAGCCGATTGGTGACTTTGCTTCTTTTGCTCAGAAATGGTCTAGGAACTGCGATAAGCAGCTACATAGGCTTGTCTGCTACATAAACAGCACGGTGAACAGCACCCTAGTTGGCACAGTCCAGGATTCGACTGATGAGTTGCATCTTTCTCTCTATGTGGACGCAGATTTCGCTGGAGTACGAGACGCAAAATCAACGTCCGGAGGTTTCTTGGTGTTGAGTGGTCCACATACGCACTTTCCCCTCGCGTGGGTGTCTAAAAGGCAGACCTCGGTCTCCCGATCGACAACCGAGGCGGAAATAGTGTCTCTTGCGTACTCCCTGTACCAGGAGGCACTACCTGCGCTCAGCTTATGTGAGCTGATCTTGGACAGACCATTCCATCTCAAGATCCATGAGGATAATCAGGCGACCATCCTCGTAGCAAAGAAGGGTTTCTCATCCAAGCTACGCTGTGTACAACGCACGCACAATGTCACAAGGTGAACCTCGCTTGCATCGCAGAGCAGCTTGAAAGCGAACACATCTCAATAGAATATGTACAAACAGACATGCAATCAGCAGACATTTTCACTAAGGCACTTCCTCCTCCCAACAAGTGGGACCATGCCATCAGGTTGCTCGGCATTCGTGTTGACCTTCCAGAGAAGCTTGAAGATGTGCGTGAAAGTAGATCCGCTAAAGCAGCTGCCTAGTGCGCTGCAGCATGTCCGCAAAATTTCCAAAAGTGTGCAAGTGCCTGGGCGATGCTTGAATAACTTGCGTCAGTCGTTGTGATGTAAACTTGACTTCAAGTTGGCGTGGCAATGCGCCCAAGACACTCCCTCAGTGCCGTCAATGAGGGGGGAGTCAATTATCACGATGACATTTATGGGCCAGAGGTTCATGAGGTAGGAACTCATGTTGCAAGGTACAACATCAATGGCATGTCCGCATGTCATTGCTTTGGCTCAAGGAAAAGAGCGCGTTGCACGCGCTGCTCACAAGTTAAGGGAGAGGTCGCAGTCACGGCGGGGTTCGTTCCTTTTAAGGTCCCGGGTTCCCCCGTTGTTGAGAAAACTGTGTTTCCCTCTCCTTTGAGTCGATCTGCTCGAACATTGGACCTCAATCGACAGGTCTTCTCTCTGAATTTTGGTCCTGAAATGTTTCTCATCGAGTTCTTTCCGTAAATCGCCTATGTTGTCTCCAAATCAAGGGCGGTGTCACTGGAGTCCATTGCGACTTTATCGTGCGAGGCTGATCCGCTGTAAAGTTTCAATGTTCATTCCCGGCATCGATTTCCAAATTGGGATCACCAGATGTGCTGATCACTAAGAGTCTAAGCCCGATGCTTCCTCAGAGCCCAAATGGTAGCAGCCTGGGGCCCGACTCATTGGGTATGCCTTTTGGGGGAACACACTTTTGGTTGGTCTCAAAGGCAAACCAAAACAACACCCTTGCGACTTTGGGATTTGTTGTGCATGTAATATGTGCTTCCTGCATGCGTTCCTCAGGCTTGGGCAGATATGGAGAGGAACATCTCGACTGCCTTTGCAGGAGACCTGTATTGCCCATGGCCATATAGATATGTGCCGGATTTGTTTACGGTCCATTTGGGGTTCAGGACATGGACGAGCTGTCCATGTCCCCAGAAAAAGACCAGGGACTCACTAATTTGCCCCTGTCCTTTTGGGCGAAGCGCCTTTCTGAAGAAGGGGTCGGGGCCTGGAAGGGCAGTCTCGTGCCACGGCTGGTGGCATTCCCATCCCACATTGACAACAAAACCTGGCCCGGTTCATGCCCAAAACCCGGCGACAACTCGAGCCAAGGGGTCTTTCTGGCCTTTGCCTTTAAAACCTTCCTTTGCAACGCGAGGTAGTCCGTGGTTCATTCGTAGGGACATGGGCAAAGGGCTCCAAATTACCCATGACCTATGAGGGAAACTTTTGTAATTTTGACCGTGGCCCACTCTTCGAATGTTCAAACGGTTGCTCCGGGTTCCTGTGGGTTACTTAAACTTTGTAGCCTTGGGGGACTGTGACGGCAAGTTTGACAGCGAGTGGCACGGAGGAAGTACAAGCTCCTCGCGAATCGCGAGGCCGAGTCCGAGCTGCCGAGCCCCTCCGTGGTGGCGTGCCTGGGCTTAGTCTAGATCCGGCAGAGCCAGTGGCTGACACATTTGGGCACGTTTGTTTGGAACTCCCTTTTGGTTTGGCTCGAAAAAGCGAGCCAAAGGCAAACCCACCATAGATTCGGAACTTGGTCAAAGGGCCGCCAAGCAAGATAAGGCCTGGCCGAACAAAGACCCTCCACCATTTCTGTGACACGCAAGGGTGGGCTCAGCTGCACTCATTGTGACTCATGCCGAACCTGCCGTGTGCGCGAGCACTCACAACCAACTTTCCAAGAGCACTTTGCCTTGTGCTTGGGCAACAACTAGCTTCTAGGCCACTTTAGTTTCAGTGACCAGCCAAGGGAGTCCCCTTAAAATTGTCGAAGCAGTTAGTGGTGGCTTATCCCAGTACTTATGGGGTTTCATCCATCCCAACTGGTGCGAAGTGGATTCCACAGCATGCCAATTTCCCACCAAGTTTTGCCCAGCGAGCGTATGAGCGTATGAGCAGCCTTGGAGGCAGCTGGAGGAGCTGCCAGAGGGTGAGGAGCCCTTCGAGCCGTTGGTGATGGCAGAGTGTCAGGCTGGACTGCGATGAGTCGGCAAGGGTTGGTTGCAAAGTGTCTTTACAACCAAACCCTGCTTCCCTTTCAAAGGACACCAAGAAGAGGCACTTACGCCAAAGTAGCTTAAACCATGGCTTAAACAATTGTTGAATCGCCACCCGGTGAGTCGCAAAAGCACAGTCTGACCTCAGGACAAAGCCGACCTGGACACTTCTGCCTTGTGGCTGGAGCCGGAAGGCACGATGCCCGGTGGCCTCGCAAGAAGGGGGGACGCCCTCATGGCTTTGAGGAAAGTTGCGACAACGAGGGATTGAGGGAAAGTTGCCAGACATTCATCCATAGTTTAAACAGGGACAAACTGCAGCGTGCGCGGCATGATCATCGTCGGGCTTCCTTTGGTCATTAGAATTTGCTGATCGTGGCTTGTTGGGAATCAGCCGGGCTTCTAGTTCTTGGTTTTGATTTGATTGGGCTTGTGGCAGAGCCAATCTTAGTGCTACAATTGTTTCTTCCAAACTGGTGCTTTCGCCCACAGGCGACTCGTGGCGGTGTGACCTAGTGCAGCCACAAGTGAATGGGTTTTTGGCCCTCTGAGAAAGGATCAAGGTCCCAGTGTTGCTAGAAGGGCAGTGGACCTCTGGCACGATCTCCAGCTCACGATCTGTCGCTTGCAAAAATGATAGGATCTGGGAACGGGCTTGAATTGGGCTAACACACAACTTGATTGCCACTGCTTAGTTTAGTATTGCTTTGGGCATGGGCTTGAGTTGGTCCAACGCATAACTTTGTATTGGCAACCGCTCAATCGAGTATTGCCCGCCCACATTTCGGATTTCAAAGCGCCCACTGTAAACACCACGGTTCCCAGACCTGAGATCCAAGCCTTTGAGTTAGGAACTCCCGAAACTGGTAACAATTCTAACCGATTTGAGGGTCGCAATTGTAGAAAGTCTTTCCCCGGAGCGGCGAAATCTGAGCCCATGCCGCTTCTCATACCAGTCTAAGCGGTGCTTCGCAGCCCTTCCCAGCCAGGTCGAGTTCGAGAGGCCGAGTTCGAGATCCTCTGTGGCTTAGGGACAGTAGTGGTAAACAACAAGTCTAGCATAGGTAAGACCTAGGCTTCTGTCGGCTTCTGTTTGGCCCCATGGACTCTTTTTGGGCCCACATCAGAGACAAACCCAGGCTGAGAGCACACTGCAAGAACGCAGTCACGGAGTCCGTTTCTACGGACGGGCTTGTATTTGCTTGCCGTTTCTTCGAGGCGTTCGGCCTTTGGGGATTCTCGGATTCTCCCTTGTTGCCTTTTTCTTTGCCTTTTTGTCCAACGTTTTACTTGGCGAGACTTCGAAACTCTGCTCCTTTTGGTTTGATCGAACTAGCAGTTTGACCTTTGGCGGATTGCGCCGCTTCCTTTTTGCACATTGAACACAAACCTCGGAAGGCTTTGACAGGCTCAATTTGGTATTGTCTAGGGCTTGGCCAAGCCACTGTTACGTGAAGCTGGATTTTTTGAAATGGCTGGAGGGGGGGGGGGGGGCAGGGGGGTTCAGGTTGCTTTCCTTGCGAAACCATAGAGAAATCCACGAGAAAGTCTCCTAGCCCGGAAGAGTGCTAACAACTATGGTTGTGAAAGCAGTCAGTTGAGAGGTTTCTGCCCCAAGCAAGATACTTTGGAATGCCAAAGAAGCGAGGGAGGTTGCCACAACTCTCCAGAAACGCGTGCGAGGCGTAGTTTGGCAATTTGTGTGTGGAGTGAGGCCAAACCACGCATTTTGTCCTTGGTTGCACAAACATCCAGAAAGGGACGGTAACAAATGAAGGGATTTTCCTATCAACTTCCACTTTTAGCTGACGTCCTTTTTCGTGGGGGCGCTTGTTTTTTTCCCCGCTGTTGGACACCCAAGACTCGGAGGGTTCCCTGCCAGCCAGGCCGGAGCTGCGCGGAGGGCCTCCGACCTGATGACCGGGGCCCAAACAAAGCAGCGCTGTGGTTTTGTCTCAAGGGACAAAGCCGAGGGACAAAGCCGCTTTCCTTTTGGTTCCCCATTGGGTTATGACCTCAAGGAGGAACCGAGCTTCAAGCAGAAGTCTCACCCATGAGAGGTTTGGTCAAGATTTACTGGTTGGCCTGTGTGTCATTTGAGAGGGACATGGGGGGGGGAAGCTCTGTATTTCCCACAAAGCCCTCGAGTCGGGGCTCTTTGAACAGCAACCCAGACATTGGGAAAGCAGAATGTGTTCAAAGCAGTGCTTTAGGACTTTGAACAGGTATCCTCTTTGTCAAGTGGACTGCCAGACGTTTTCAGCCCTTCCAAAACCATTCTGTGCGCTCTGTTAGAAAGTGGCCCATATCTCCAGTGGCGATCTATTCCCGTTTTTTTGTCGTTGAACGGTTCTCTCTTCAAAATCAACTGCCAACATTGCCAACGAAGAAAACAATGAGGATGACGGAGGCACCCACGTCGAGCCTGGAGGAAGAAGGCGAGCGGATCCCCCACTCGGGGTGGAAAGATGCTTTTTTTGGCTGGGTACGGAGTGGGTACGGTGGATTCCTTAGATTCTTGCAAGCGAACTGGCCATTGGAGTATTTTTAGGGCATCCGTAGCCACGTTTCGGGGGCAAGCCCGAGGAAAGCCAGCAATCTGGGGTTCCATATCCTTTTGAGACCCAACCCCTCTCCTTTTTGTTCAAGGCAAACCCAAGGGAAGCCGACACCATTTGGTTTTATCATTTGGAGACCCACCCTCAGGTTCACGCTGTGATACCCCCAACAAATAGATCGTCGAAGTCCCTTGACGCTGTGCGCATTGAGCCAGGAAAGCTTCTTCAAGAAGCTTTGTCCTTTGAGCTCAACCGCTTCACTCAAGTGTGAAGCTTACATTTCCGCAGGTGCATGAGTGCAGGGCCTGCACATGCAATGGACTTAAGGTGATCGCTCAAGATACCGGGTCCATCGCACACAAGGGTCCAGCGTGGGTCCTTTGGCGGCATGAGGTGAACAGCTCACGCAGAGATGGCTCGCCGAGACTTTCTCGCTGTTCGGATCGGGGCTGGGTCGTCCTTTTCAGCCGCATTCGACAAATGGTCTTGCGCCGAAAAGTCTAGAACAATTAGTTAATTCCTTCCCGTTTCGGAGGTGTGGAACCCAGTTTTGTCAAACCAAAAAGGGGATTGGGCGACTCGTTGCATTCGATTCGGACGTTTCTCGAGTGCCCTGCACGCTGAGGACTTGCTGATTGCGGTGACCCAGGGGAATCTCGAGGTTGTGAAGTCGCTGCTGCCCGTGCAGGCCGAGACAAAACCCGCATTCCAATTTTGGATGTGTCTTGTAATACTTGGACCCCCCAAAATTGTGGTTTTCCTTCTGGTTTCCGTTTTTAAGGGCCGCAGAATAGGAAGTTCCCCGAAAAAAAGACACACCCAAACCTGTCTAGGGAGCCAGTTTTTGTTTCGTTTTCAAGTTCAAGCAAAACCAGAAGGACGCTGTTGAATCTCTTTTGGAAAGGGAAGCACCCCGTCGCCAGGTGACGTCTCGAACCAAGCGACGTCCTGTCTGGCAACAGGCACCATATCTGAGAAACTTTATGTGGGGTGTAGTAAGGGCGACTTACGTGAATACATGTGCTGATTTTGCATGGAGAGGGTTGCAGCCAACTGGGGCTCCTCCAAGGTTTTAAGGGTAGACGAATTGTGCACTGTAGCCCAGATGCGGGCCAAGCCAAGGCGATCGAGAAGCTTGGATGGACAGCGTTCCACCTGGCAGCGGTGAATGGCGACTGCGCACTGATTGAGGTCTTGAAGGAGGAGCACTTCGCGGCGCCGTCGTGTGATTGCACAATCCAATTGAGTGTCCAAAACCCCCGATGGCCATTTCAACAGATTCCATAACAAGGATTGCAGTGAGGCCTATATAAAGCTTTCTGACTTACAATGAATGGTTTTTTGGTGATGCTCAATTGAGCCGCAATCAAAACCTGGGCAGATGAAGGTCAGTAAGTTGCAGCCCCAACCAAAACTATGTACGGGTACGCGCCCTCTCGATTCTTTGCATGGTTTTGGGTGGACCCCAGTAGTACCAGGTTGAGGATATGCTAAAGCGAAGCCAGAAAGGAATTCCCCTTGGTGTCTGGTATGGTCATGCTTGTGAGACTGTCAGCTCGGAAGGACATGGTCGAGCGCTTCGGTCACCACAGCGCCACGTGGATCTAAGAGCTCGTTCCCTTGCTTTCGGCGTCTTTTTTCTGTGTGTGTGTGTGTGTGTGTGTGTTTTTGAGGATTTGCCCTGTGTTTCCCTGTTCAATCAGGTAGCCCGCCATTGATGGTTTGGATTGGGCATTTATTTCAACCCCCTTTGAAGTCTATTGGGGAAGGTACTTCCGCCAAACCCTCAATTGTTTGTGGATTTGAGCCCCTGGTTCTAGAGGGAAGATGGGAAACCCTCCTCAACCGCCATTCGATTTGCTTCAGGTTTTGTTTTGTATATTTCCCCAGATAGCTGAAAGCTATAGGGGTTCTAACTTCTAATAAAGAAGGGAAAGTGATTTGCGAGATTGAGGGCCGGGTGCTGGGGGCCATGCAGTTTGGGGTGCTGGTGGAGGTGCTGTTTTGCGAGCTTGACGGCCGGGTGCTAGGGGGCATGCAGTTTGCAGTGCTGGTGGAGGTGCCGCTTTGCGAAACTGACGGCCGGGTGCTAGGGGGCATGCAGTTTTGGGTGTTGGTGGAGGTGCTGTTTTGTGAGATTGACGGCCAAGTGCTAGGGGTCATGTAGTTTGGGGTGCTGGTGGAGGTGCTGTTTCGCGAGATTGACGGACGGGTAGGGGTCATGCAGTTTGGGGTGCTGGTGGAGGTGCTGTTTTACAAGATTGACGGGCAAGTGCTAGGGGTCATGTAGTTTGGGGTGCTGGTGGAGGTGCTGTCTTGCAAGATTGACAGCCGGGTGCTAGAGGGCATGCAGTGTCGGGTGCTGGTGGAGGTGCCGCTTCGCGAGATTGACGGCCGGGTGCTAGGGGGCATGTAGTTTGGAGTGTTAGGGGGCATGCAGCCTCGGGCGCTAGTGGAGGTGCCGCTTTGCGAGATAGGGGGCATGTAGTTTGGAGTGTTGGTGGAGGTGTTGTCTTGCGAGGTTGACGGCCGGGCGCTAGGGGTCGTGCAGTTCCGCCGGCGGAGGTGCCGCTTTGCGAGATAGGGGGCATGTAGTTTGGAGTGCTGGTGGCGGTGCTGTTTTGCGAGATTGACGGCCGGGTGCTAGGGTGGAGGTGCCGCTTTGCGAGATAGGGGGCATGTAGTTTGGAGTGTTGTGGAGGTGCTGGTTTGCGAGATTGACGGCCGGGTGCGAGGGGGCATGCAGTTTCGGGTGCTGGTGGAGGTGCCGCTTTGCGAAACTGACGGCCGGGTGCTAGGAGGCATGCAGTTTGGGGTGGTGGTGCAGGTGCTGTTTTGTGTTGCTGTTGGAGGTGCTGCTGACCGCGTGGGCTTATTTCCCGGATAGCTGGATACCATAGACTTCTATTGAGGCTGGTGACAGTACGTGACGGCAGGGTGCTCGGGGACGTGTCCGGTGCTGGCGCGGGTGCTGCGTTGGGGTGCTATTGGGGCTGCTTTTTTCCGTTGTTGGTGATGGTGCGGGCGCATGTGCATGGCGGGGTGCTAGGGCGGGTGCTGTTTTGGGGTATCGTGGTTGTCGCATCATCATGATGCTGGCCGCAGCATCATGATGCTTTCAGCAGCACCATGATGCTGTTGAACCGATTCGGACGTTGTTGCTGCTCTAACTGTCGCTCGTAATGGTTCGTGGCTTGCGTGTCATCATGATGTTGTCAACCACGTTATGATGCTGCTGCAATCGGTGCCGCGTTATGGTTTGTGGGTGTGGTGGCGGGCATAATGCTGTCAACATCAGGGTGATGCTGAATTTCATTACACTGTCGCAAGATGATTCGTGGCTGTGGTATCATCAGGATGCTGCCTTTGCCATCACCATGACGCTGTGAGCATCATCATGATGCTGACCTCATCATCATGATGCTGTCGAACTCATCAGGACGTCGTCTCTGCCTTTTTTCTGCTAGATATGTAGCGCGGAATCGTTCGTGGCTGGTGTATCAGCATCACCCTCAACATCATCGTTTTGCTGATGGACTCACTAGGACGTTGTCTGCGCGTCTATGTAGCGCACTTTGCTGAGTAGCTGTGATATTTTCATGATGCTGTCAACATCATCAAGATGCTGTCAACATCATCATCATGCCGCGGGAACCATTATGATGCTGCGTCATGGTTCGTAGCCGTGGTGTGCTGCCTATGCGGGTGTATTTTCCCTGCTGGTTTTAGAGGACATCTATCACGACTGATATATTTACATTTTTTCCAGGGCGCTTCAGCAAAAAGATGGAAGAGTCCAAACCAATTGGAAGGAAGCTGAGAGCTGCGATTGGATCGGGCGAAGTGCCGCTCCGAGGCGATTTCCCAGGCCACCTCGGGCACAAGGCTGCCGCCGCTGGGTGTGGCCTGCCTGGCCAGCCATGCGGAGGTGGGGTGATACGCCTGGTTCGACCGGGGAAAGGAGTCAGGGTGCGCCAAAGCAGGATTCCGCTAGTAGGACACATCCAAAGCCACCATATTTTTGCGAGGATGCTCTAAAGCAGCTGGTGTTTGGGTGATGTTTTTGATTGGCCCAAGAATATCCTTGAACAAACCCTGCAAAAGGGTGGCTTCTCTAATCTGTGTTTAGAACGGGGATAGTTTCCACCCTTCGATCCCACAAACAAAAGACTCCAGAAAGGTTCCCTCAGAAGATGTTTGCAACCTCGTCAATGCCCTTGTCAAGGTCATGGTGCTGTGCTGCCACACGGCTGTTTCAGAAGGAAAGTTCAGACATTAGCGTTCCGAAGTTTGGTTGACATCTAGCTTCCCTTGCCAATCATCCAAGATGGTCGAACGATTCTTGCTCAAAGCCATCAGTCAAGCAGGTCCGATTCCTTTCGAGTAACCACCAGTTGGGAACAGCTTGCAATGCAGAATCTGTGCTTTCAGTGCGTCACAAGTGATCAGGATT